TGTACCATCAATGATGTTCTCCCAGATGACTTGGATGTGATTGTCACGGTCGCTACGAGTCTGTTCATGGTTGAAGCCAAGAGCGTGGAGAAGCTCATGCTGCACAGTGCTGGGGTAAAGGCAGCCATTACGGTCTAGAGACACAGTCTGGCTGTAACCTTGACGACCAACATACGAGTAGCATCTGTAAAACAGAGATCCATAAAATATGAATTTTTTACCCATCTCAGAATATTATCTTTATCTCTTCATTAACAAGTTACATTTGGGATGTAATTCTCATTCTGATGGAATTCTTCTGATTCTTATTCTAAACATGTTTGTTTGTAGTCCCATGCTGCTGATGCAAACCTTAATTTTGACTTCTGTATTTTTTGCATTGTCTTGAAACAAATTCTGTGTTGGTTTGTGATGTTTTTCTGATTTTGATTTTGGTTGCGTTATGTACCCACTGCGAGATTCAATGCTGATATAGTCTCTCTCATTGCTGCGGGGGAAGAAGTGGATACAGGTGCTGTAGGAGAAAGAGTCCAGACCACGCTTGATGATCTCCACCTCACGGGAGGCTGAAAGGGCAAAGGTCAGAGGTTGCTATGGAAATATTTACTTTGTTTCACACTCACATGCTTTTGCACTGATTATACTTGAGCGTTAGGCTCTGTCCTAAAATCAGGAACAATAAAGAGTCTGTCTAATTCTTTATTCTCTTTGGGCTCTAAATGAAAACATAAATCATAATACTAGTGACTTACAATAGTGGTTGGCGATGACATAAGGCACATAAATCTTGCCGTCACTGTATTTAGGGCCAGAGGCAGCCGAAGGAGGTGCAGGGATCAGCATTTCTCTCATTCACCGCAATGTCATCCATTAGCTTGGGCTCATCAGGTTCAGGAACTAACACATCAACAGTTAATTTGGGACCGTTTAATAAAGGACAGGTGCAGCATATTGATGTGTATTGGTGAGTATGTGGTGAGAACGTACTGATGCCTCTGTTGCCGCTGATATAAATGCCTCTGATATAAATTTGTGTGTCTTACCATCTCCTCAGCTCTAACAGAGAAGACGAGAAGCAGGGCCAACAGGCCAAAAGTCACCTTGGTCACAAACATGGTGTCCAAAGACCTGTAGAAAGAACCAAGGCACAGCTGTTTAATGCCTCAAATGAAGGTCAGCTTAAGCTCTTTTACTAATATTTATCAACATATCATAATATCCATCCATTTTCTATGGTCACTAGGCAAAGGCAGGAAAACAGATGTGACCAGTCCATCACAGGGCTCAATTTGTCACCATAACAATGATATTCAACATAACTTTAATGAATTCCGTGTGTTGCTGTAATACTACAAATCCATAAGGAGGACACAATGTGAAAATCTAATAAAATGGGACACAATACATTTCTGATCTACATTAGAATCACATACTGTATAATCATTATAAACGAGTACCTTTCCTCAACTAATGCTCAAACAATGTTACAACTTGGTGAAATATAAATTTATTTGAACAGAGACAGGGAAAAAAAACAGTTCTCTTACCTTAGATTTCCAAAACCAGTGCAACACTACAGCCACACGTAGGTTTTATACCTATACCGTATCTATACGATCTTTACTGATATGGCCAGAAGTACAGTAGACATGCTGACACGTTGTTTGAAAGAGAACAGGTGTGAAATTCCCTCATTTGTTGCTTTATAAAGGAACATGTCACACACAAACCTGATGAAATACAAGCGAGAACGTTCTCACATTTAAACACATGTAAACACTTGGGCCATAATTATATAATATTAAGTTAGTATTTATTCATTTGCTATACAAATTATTTTGTAAATTCATACATATATTGGAAATTAATTTCAGTTATTGTTTTGTCTCTGGTTTTATATCTTTCCTCTATAGAATCTGTTATTAATGTTTTCTTTTTTTTTTTTCTTCTTAAATCTAATTTGCCATTATTTCAACAAATATTTATGTTGTGATTCTTTCTGATGCTTTTGCATGCAGGTTCTGTGCCAAAAATTAAGCTTTAGTGTTAGTTCTGGCAGGTCACGTGAGTCAAGCTTGGATCAGCTGATTCTCAGCTGATCACATCTACCTTTAGGAATACGACACCTATCGCGGCATTCCTATATAAGCTTTATTCAGTATTATTGAGCAGCTTTTTAGCTTGCTCAGGAGCAAATTACCCTCCTCCATCCCCAGCTCCACCTTTCGCCACAGTCAGGACTTTCAGGACAGACAAGCTTTCTGATATTCCTTGGTAATCAGACTCCTTTATCTTGAATAAAGTGTTACACTTAAATATCATTAAGTACATTAATGATATCTGCCTTGTTCTGTTCTGTTAACCCTAGGGGGGTTATTATTGCTGCTCTCCCTGCTCATTCATGACAGGCTGCATGGATGGGCAGGGAGTTTTTTGCCCAGAACAGAACCATACCGCCAAACCAAACTTTATGCTAAGTATCTATCATTTTGACGATAGTGGTTCTGACAGAACTGAAGTTAAGTGAGCAAATGGTTAAACCAAACAAATTTTTAAAAAGCATGTTAATGGTGTACATGCTATAACGACATATTATTCTTTTTGCCAATACATTGGAAAATGTTTTTATATGACAGACAAATGCCACTACCTAGACTTTAAGCAACCATATATCCAGTGCCTATAGTTGCTAGATATCTAGCTAGTACATGTCAAAGTCCAGCTATAGCGGATAACGTTAGCATTCCACATGTTAGCTAACATTAGCAAATGAACACCAGCACTAGCCAATTAGGAAAACTCAGAAGTGAGGTCAGTTTTAGTTAAACAAATAGCTGGTAAAAACTTACCATCAAGAATTAGTATTTCTGCGGCAAGTATCTTCATCTGTCATGTCTGCTTCGACTTGGTAGACGCACCGTTTAAGCACCTATTAAGTTGTTCACAGGAAGCAGGAGCTGACCTGGTAAACTAGTCAGGAAAATAAAATAAAATCTAAACTGGGATGATTTCTGCTGAAAACATGTTACCATCTCAACAGCATACAGCAGTGTGATTGGACTATTACCTGCAAAGCTGATTTGAAAAGCTTAGCTCTGATTGGTCAAATTGAATGTAACTATTGTGCTTAAAAAAGCTTTCAACTGGCAATGACAAGTAACAGAAATTAAATACCTACCTAGAGTCACAATATAACTCGGTTCCAAATCTACACGCATAGATGCTTTCCCAGAATCTGGGAAAAATTAAGATGTAACAATTAATGTTCTATTTAATTTAACAGTTCACCTAAATATATATATTCTGTAATCAAGTACTCACCTTCATGTTGTTCCAAACCCTTTCAGACTTTTGTTCATCTTCGAAAACAAACACTGAGATATTTGAATGAAATCTGACAGAATTATGTCCTTCCGATGAAAGTCACCAAAATTGTTCATGTTTTATGACTTCAAACATCGCAAAAGTAATCCATATGAATCGAGTGGTTTCTTCCAAGTCCTCTGAAGAAACACAATCATTCTATATGACTTAACGGTTTTAATTTAGACTTTTATCACTGATCTATATCATGATCTATTATAGGAAAGCTCAGACGTGCTTGCTTGATGCGCACGAGAACCACTCAGATGTTGTCACACGTGTTACACAAGCACGTCTGAGCTTCAAAAGCCAGTGAGGTTTGTTTTTGCGCATCATGCGGTAAGTTGAGCTCGTTTGAATTTAGGTACATAAACAGGGATTTTAAGCATATCTTTGGAAAAATGATTTATGATGCACTTCAAATGATACAATGTTGACATGCTTCTGGAAAGTACAGTTAAACAGTAGCCTATTACGATTAATGTATCATGTTATGTATTTAAAAATGAAATTAAAATCTATTTGAATTGTATTGTATTTTTTTACAAGTACAAACAAGTAAAACCAAGGAACATTGATTTTAAGTTTGCTCATTACTAAGGCATAGTTGACAAACTTATATTTATAATGCATAAAAGTTGGTACAATGTAAGAATACATTTGCATGTTTTATAGCTGTAATGTAGGCTATTTATGGGTGAGTGAATGAATATACTTTATAAAATATATTAAAATGTTAAGAATGTTTTTCAATATATTTTCCTTTTGAAAAGCAGGCTGAAGCACATGTTCATTACATAATTATTTAAAATATATTTCAGTATGTCTGCATGATGATTATACATAAGATATATACTTTAAACCTAATAAAAGCTGTATCATTTTACTGTTCTTACATGAAGTAAACATAAAATATGCTTTAAGTAAGAATAAAATAAGTATGTTTTCTGTAAATACACTAAAATGCCACAAAAGTAAGCTTGTGCTTTAGCATATTTCTTAAACTATGCATATATTTATTACCGAAGTATTTCTAGTATACTTTTTAAAAATACATTAAAATGCAATTCAATGCATTTTTAATTCACTTTAAGTAAGCATGGTAGGAGAATACAATTGTACTTTAAATACACTATTTGAATTTCAAGTACATTTTTAATACATTTAAGAGTACTTCTTTTTCACTTATGACACAGGTCAGGTGTTCTGTTAAGTACTCTGGGTGCGGGTTTACCCATCCAGGACTCTGATTTAAATTGATTTGCGTTCTTTTTGCATTTTCATTTACGAAAATATCCTGGGTATATATACATATATATATTTTTTTTTTTTGTAATCGCCTTATATTTGTGTTTAATTCCAAAATATTCCAAAATAAAAGTCTGTGTTTACATAATATATGTGTGTATACTGTGTATATTTGTATGTATATATAAATGCACACACATACATGTATGTATTTAAGAAATAATTACATGTATAAATATGAAATATATATATATATATATATATATATATACACACACACACACACATATATATATGTACATATTTCTTAAATATATACATCTATGTGTGTGTATTTTATTATTAAAATTAAAAAGTATCAATTATTAAAGTATTATATATAATTTAAAAGTTTTCAATTCTTAAAAAAAATTAAAAAATAAATTTGACTGAGCCCAAACTTTTGCTCAATAATATATAAACAGGAGATGGTCATGCTGAAAGCTTCTTATTAATATCATGACGGTTAATTTTGTCTAGAGCTGCAAAATTCAGTCTGGTGTTGCTGAATTCAGCCTAGACCTTCTGAATCTGGTCCAGAGATGCTGCATGTTGTCTAGTGCTGCTGAATTTTGTCCAAAGCTACTGAATTTGGTCCAAAGCTGCTGAAATCCATGTGATACTAATGAATTCAGTCCAGAGTTGCAAAATTTTGTCCAGAATTTCTGAATTCGGTACCATTAACCTGGACAAGAGGGCAAGTTGGACAAGGATCTCTTTGCCAATTTTTTTGTCTAGACCACTTGTGATCCCCCTAAGACCACGCACACACATCACAGATCATGTCGAGAGTATTTCTGCAGGTGCATGCACGCTGGCATTTCACGTAATTAAAGGTTGACCTTTATAATAGAGGAACAAATGTCAAGGGGTCCTTCTCATCTGAGGGGGGTGTGTGTGTATGTGGAGGTGTGTGTGTGTGTGTGTGTGTGTGTGTGTGTGTGTGTGTGTGTGTGCACTTCCTGTCTCGTAGACACATCCAGTGATTATAATAACACACACAAATGCTGGACTGCAGAAACGTGCAATCTATATAAAAACACATGACTCATATTTGTTTATTTGATCTTAACTTCATGATATGCTATGTGTCCTAAACATAGCTCACAGTGTGTGTGTGTGTGTGCGCGTGCATGTGTGTGTGTGCGTGTGTGCGCGTGTTTGTTTGTGCACAGACTGTGTCCTTGGCTCTGAAAGGCTTCAGCAGTGCCCAAATGAATGAATTGTGGAGTTTTTTTGACTAGTGGTAAAACCGGATCTATAACATCACAGCACAGGTATATGGTGACATTTTAATTGCCGAGTAGTTCCTACATAAAAAAGACAGGCCTTCCAAACAGCCTATAAACATGTTCTCAGTTTGATGAAATATCTATGACCACGCCTGGCCAAAAGAGGAACAGATGACTTGGGGTCCTTTGCACATGTGGCATGTGTGAGCGTGAGACTGGTGTAAGCACTCTAATGAAATGATGCTGCGTTCTGGAGACAAATGTTACAGAGTCACTGAAAAACCTGATGCAACACTCAGTACTCTGACGGCATCACACACGCTGATTCACACAATTTAGTCAAATGAATAGGATTTATTTGAATAATAAAAGGGGTGTTTAATTTTTGTGATATTCTCATAGATCTTTCTTAGATTCTTTGAGCTTGTGTACGCATGCAGTAGAAGGATGTTGTTGTTTATGTTGCCTTGTTTTAGAAATTCAAAAACGTACTGTGGCGATATCTTATGGTTATACTGAATTTTGAATGATTACCATTATGTTTTTCTCTAAATGGTTAGGGTTAGGTTTAGAGATGGCAATTGATGACTCAAAAATATCTATGGTATATTGTAGCAAATTCTTTTTTTTATTGTTGGAAAAGTGGTTATGTTTTGTTTTATTGATAGGGTTAAGGGATCTAAAATATATCTATAAAACGTATATAGATATAAAAGTATAAAAATCTATAAAATGTATAAAAATATTCATAATATAAAGAATTTATATGTATTCTTTTTTTTTTTATCCTATAGCTGTAAGTACATAAAACTAAATTATTGTACATTTCAAGACAGACCACGTCTGTCAAACTCCAAAACACTAGTAAATAATGGGTTGAACCACTGCTTTGATTGTACAAAAACATGTCATATACTTTACCTTCAATTAATCTCGCTCTCTTTTTTAACCTGTAGGAATTATAAAAGAAGAGGAAAGTGGAGAACATCATGTAAGAACACAAATGCCGACTGTTGGATTCATTTAATGGAATCAAATCTTTTTGGAAATAAATTCAATAGGCCTGTGTGACGTGGGAAACAACCCCGACAGAAAACCCTTCAGCAGCAGTCGCTCCTCCATTCATCTGTCTAGACATTTTTTCACACAGAATAAGCACATCTACTCTCTCCTCTGAACGCTCTTATGGGTAAATAATCCCCAGAAAGCATCTAATTTGAACGTCGTTTTGGATTCTTCCGTGTGATTGTGGGCGAAATCTAGTGGTAGCCATGTCTGGTAAGGGCAACCCCAGCCCACACCTCAATGGCTTCCAAATGGCCCACTATTCCTATTTCTTCCCGCACATACTGGGAGGGCTTTCTCCGCCTTCTCTGCCCACCCTACCCCTCAGTGGATACAGCACACCTTCACCAGCCAGTGAGTATGACATAAAACCCTTCAAAATCTCCTGCTCAATGAAACTTGATTGATTGATTGATTGATTGATTGATTGATTGATTGATTGATTTTTATGTATTGGGATTCCATTTTGTGTTGAGTGATAAACTGTGATATACTTATCCTTTTGTTGAGTGCATCACAAAAAGCTTTAGCATGACATTCTGGGCAGATTTCCATTAGTAGTATGTTTCCTGAACTTTCAAATGGCGGTTCCCCTTGTGTTCGCAGTACTCTCTTAGCATTAATGTAGTACTCTGTCTGGAGTCCAAGTCCATATTTTCATGGTCTTGGTCTTGTCATGGACTCAAAACAGAGTCTGATCTTGAGTATTACAGCACAGGGGATGCGTTTTGTGGTCTGTAATGGTTTGCATGTCTCCTGACTGAAGCACAATGTGTGTGCGCTGCAGAGGTTTGCATGACATTGACACAAAACTGGACTTTATTGACCCCCAATGGAAAGTTCCATTCACAAATGATTTTTCAGTTATGAAGAGGTCTCATTTTGAATTGTGTGCATAATTTTGTTCATTTTGTTCTTTACGATAGCTTTCAATACACTCTTAAAAATAATGCGGTTCCATGAAGAACCTTTAATATTCATGGAAACTTTTAATTGCACAAAAGTTTCTTTATTGTCTTAACCAAGAACATACTTAGTATACGGTAACTACATGGGTTAAGGTTAGGTTTAGGGGTAGATTCAGGGTTAGTACCCAGTTATTATAATTGTTACATTAAGTACGTAGTATGTTTGTGGAACAGGAGTGTAAAATAAAGTGCTACCAAAATGTGAACTAAATAAGTGAACTAAAACTAAATGAATCATTTTCTTTCTTTTTTTTTTGTCCTGGCCTAAAAGAACCTAGAGAACAGGTGTGTCTTTATACTTTGCTAGTATAAAGAACCTTTTGTACAATGGAAAGTTTTCATGGGTGTTAAGTGTTCTTTATGGAACCATCAATGCCAGTAAAGAACCTTCATTGTTAAAGGGATAGTTCACCCTAAAATGAAAATTACCCCATAATTTACCCTCAAGCCATCCTAGGTGAACATTACTTCATTATTTCAGACAAATCCAATCGGAATTATATAAAAAAATGTCCTGGCTCTTTCAAGCAGTGAGTGGGTGTTATTTTTCAATAGTCCAAAAGCATCTATCCATAATAAAAAGTGTCCCGCATGGCCCTGGGTGGTGAATAAAGGCCTGCTGTAGTAAATCAATGCGTTTTTATAAGAAATATATCCATATTTAAAACTTTATAAACAGTAATCTCTAGTTTGCACCTATTGACGTACACGTGTTCACAATAACACCGTTCTGGCAGATGACATACGATGTAGCGTAAGGTCTGGTGAGAAGTGACGAATGCGGAAGCGCAGCAGAGAAAACAAAACAAAAAATTATAAGTACAAAAATTATAAGAACAAAACGAAGATTTGTAAAGAAAAATGTCGGAGGATTTCGATATATGCCAAGAGGAGAGCTTCCTTTGCTCCTGTAAACAAACGTTGGTTCTCGTGAGACTATCAAATTCTCACCGGACCTTACGCTACGCTTACGTCCTATGTCATCCGCCAGAACGGCATTCTATTGTGAACGCGCGTACAACAGTTAACGAAAGCTATACTTTTTATAGCATTTTAAATATATATTTTTGGACCCACTTTATATTAAGTGGCCTTAACAACTATGTACTTACATTTAAATTAATCATTTGGTACAATGCACTTATTGTGTACATAGATGTTTTTACATTGTACTTATATTTTAAAAATACCTGCATGTAATTACATCTGTAATTAATTTCTGTAATTACATTTATAATTACACTGTTGACCCATCCCTTACACCTTAACCCACCCTTAAACCTACCCATACCACCAAACCTGTCCCTAACCTTACCCGTATCCCACCTCAATAGCAGCAAATGTGTTTTGCAATACAATATGAACACAATAAGTACATTGTACTTATTTTTTATGTAAGTACATAGTAGTTAAGGCCACTTAATATAAAGTGGGACCATATTTTTTCTTACAAAAACATATCGTTTCGCTATAGGAGGTCTTTATTCACCACCGGGAGTCACTCTTTTTGATGGATGGATGCGCTTTATTGGACTTCTTTTGGACTATTGAAAAATAACACCCATTCGCTGTCATTATAAAGCTTGGAAGAGTCAGGATATTTTTAAATATAACTCTGATTTGATTTGTCTGAAAGAAGAAAGTCATATGCAGCTGGGATGGCTTGAGGGCGAGTAAATCAAGGGGCAATTTTCATTTTTGGGTGAATCGCTTTAAGAGTGTAACCCTAATAAAACACAACTGAACCAGCTCATTCAGGTCTTGAGGATCACTTGATAATTACAGACAGATGTGTTGGAGAAGGGCTGGAACCGAACTCTGCAAGAAGGTAGATCTTCAGGAGTGTAGCTGCTGGATTCTGCTGCTTTCAGTTGTTTGTTTGAAATACAGTTGCAGAAAAAGAATGTGAACACTTTGGCTTTGCTCGAATGGCTTGGCCCATGGTTTGCAGGTAATGCTTCTTGTGAATATACTCATTGTAACTCTGCCCAAACCTCCAATCTTGTGTCATTGATCAGACTCTGGGTTAGGTGGCGCCTGACTCCAGTTAGCTTTCTGAGACGTCATTATCCTAAGGATTCACATTTTTTCACCCTGCACGGTTTGCACAAAAAGAAATAGCATTGTTTGTTTGTTACTTGTTTAAGCAGATTGTGTTCTAGCAAACGTATGGTGCTGCATACTGCTGCTGTGATCCAGACTCAAGCTGCTTTGAATGTTTGTGATGGTTAATTGAAAACTGTAAAGTCAGTACCCGAGCTGGAATGATGTGAATTATTGTATGTAGGGCCGTTCTTAGCTGGCGCAGGGCCCAGTGCAAGGTAGGGAACCCCACCCCCCCTAAGGACGGCCCTGACTGTATGTCTGGACAATGAATCTTGTTCTGACGGCTCTTTAGAAGAAACAGAAGTGCGATACAAATCACTTCCTCTTTGAGGCAAAAGAGTGTGTATATGAGGCTGTCATGGCAAATGATGTTATGTGCTGTGTTTTCTAAGAAAGGTGCTTCCTTCCCTTTCACAGAACAAACATTTCCTGCCTGTAAACAGCTGGAGCGCAGGACACAAGCTCTTCCTGTGCGCACAGCTTTCTCTTTCTCTCATATATTCATTCTCACTGTCATATCACTTTTCTTAACCTATAATTAACTACTACACTAATAATAATAATAAAAAAAAACCTACTTGTAAATTCATCTGTAATTATTTTCTGTAATTTCACTATAATTACACTGCTGACTTAAATCCAACCTACATGAAGAAAACACTATCATTGTTTTCATGCCTTACAACTGAGTGAGCAATAGTCAGACATGCTTTCTTTGAATATCTGATTTGTGTTAGCGAATCTGTTCATTTGGAAAGTTCATTCCATTGAGCCATTTTAATTTTCTTTTTCTTTTTCGGGCATAATATATATTTTAAATATAAATAGTAAAGTTGTTTGTAGCTATATTTTTGATTAAGTCATATAAAATAGCATGAATTTTTATTATTTTTTGTTTTGTAGTTGTTTTTTTATTAGTTGCATTGTTTTTGTTCCAGATGAATTCTCAAGCAGCAAAAATAATTAGCTACAGTACATGCTAGTATCAAGTTACTAGCTAGTAACTAACTAGTAACTAGTAGTACTAACTAGTACTAACATTTTGACCAAGAGAAGATTTTCATTTTGCCGAAAATTCTAGTTAATGTTATAGCATTGAACAAAAACCTACTGGTTTTATCACACATGATATAACAACTTTAATTTTTTATTTTTTTATTATTATTAATTAAATTATTTGTTTATTTGTTTTTGACGATTATTTTACTTTTTTGTTTTCTATTGCTCCCAGTCAGAAATGACCATTCTACAAAAAAAATTACTTTTAAATTTCTTATGCTGTATTATTACCAAATATTGAATTCAATCTCTTTAGCAACTTTTCTTTTTTTTTCTTTTTTTTTATTAGCACAGGTTTTGTATTTATTTTTTTGGAATGAATTGATCGTAGACCACATTGATCTGAGCTTATGTACCTCAGTTTTTGAGGGAACATTCACAAAATTATTCACAAATATATTTTTTTGTTTGTTTGTTTCACTCAGAAAACATGAGCTTAAATCAATGAGGCCTGCGATCCCTTACTGAAAAAACAAGTTTACAAAAAGACTGAATCCAAGATTTTGTCATAATATAGCATAACTAGAGATTTTCAGTCAATTTGGTCATTTGAATGGGAACACCAGATTAGATAAATGATTTTAAGCACAACACAAGCAATAAATGTAGTTCTATCGTGACAACTCTCAGAAGATTTTAGCATGGTAATGGATATGACAATGTTAATGTATTTGGTCTTGGCGGAATAGATTTGCTACGCTGCTGAATTGCTGCTGCTGTTGGTTATTGCTGCTGCAAAGCAAGTACAGGAACTTGCTACTGCCAATACATACGCCGATACGGTGCTGTGAGTACTTAAGACATACTGCTGCTGCACAAATAGCATATAAAATAACCCGTAGCAGATCTATACAGGTGGAGCTGGGGAAGGTGGAGGGTTTCAAAGAAACTCTGAAAGTGCAACGCAAAATGTTCTAGTGAATGCTAACCAGCCATTTAAATGTAAATCAGCAAGCTAATTGGCTACATTTGCAATATGAACCAATCAGCTTGTGCCAAGAAATTTAACAGTGTGAATATCATCAGTTTGCATTAAGGACCCATCAGCTTGCACCATCTAGAGTTTCATGACAGAACTTGACATTTTAACTATCGAAGATTGTTCAGTTTCAAAGTAGCCCAACACTTTTATTTTGTAATGTAAAACTGTGGCTAAAAGTGTGTGTGTGTGTGTGTGTGTGTCTGTGTTATTTGCTGTTTTTGGTTGGAATGTTCTGTGTG